CTGAGACCCCAGACCCAAACTGTGACATCCCACTACTGAGACCCCAGACTCAAATCCCAACATGAGACCCTCCATTCCCAGAGCCCCCCGCTGCCCCCGCCCCGCTCTGGGGTCCCAGGGGATTTTTGGGGCGGGGTCCCGGGGCATTTTTGGGGCGTGCCCCCCCCCCCATTTCCTCCTCCCGGGGCACTGGGGCGAATCTCCTGCCGAGCTGATGGCGGCCGCTCCCCAAATCCGGGGGGCTCCCCCAAAACAGGGGGTCCCGAGCCCCCTCCTCATCCTCAGCCTCCTCCTCCTCCTCCCAGGTATTGCTGGGGGGGGGCTGGGTACTGGGCTTTGAGTCTGGGGGTTTCGGGGGTCGCAGGGTTTGGGTCTGGGGGGTTTTTGGGGTTCTGGGGTGTCGGGGTTTGGGTCTGGGGGTTTCAGGAGTGTCGGGGTTTGGGCCTGGGGGTTTCAGAGTTTCCGGGGTCTCGGGTTTTGGGTCTGGGGTCTCCTGAGGATCTCACTTCTGGGGTCTCGGGTTTTGGGTCTGGGGTCTCCTGAGGATCTCACTTCCGGGGTCTCAGCTTTTGGGTCTGGGGTCTTCTGAGGATCTCACTTCCGGGGTCTCGGGTTTTGGGTCTGGGGTCTCCTGAGGATCTCACTTCCGGGGTCTCAGCTTTTGGGTCTGGGGTCTTCTGAGGATCTCACTTCCGGGGTCTCGGGTTTTGGGTCTGGGGTCTCCTGAGGATCTCACTTCCAGGGTCTCGGGTTTTGGGTCTGGGGTCTCTGAGGATCTCACTTCCGGGGTCTCGGGTTTTGGGGGTTTCAGCATTTCCGGGGTCTCGGGGTTTGGGGGGTCCCACCTGTGCCCCCCCCCCCTCACGAGGGGTCCCGTGCCCGTTCCCCGCGGCCGTGGGGACCCCTTTAGCGGGCAGGGGTCTCTGGGGGACCCCAGACCCATGGGGGGCTCCCCCTCCCCCCCCCCAGCCACCTGGGCCAGAGTGTCCCCCGGGACCCCCCGGCCCCCCCCGGGCTTCCTGTCCCCGAGGGAACCGAAACTGG